GGTTCTATAGTGCATACATGTATTTTTGCCCTCCTTTGCATTTTTTAAAGCTAAATACTGACTGTATACTTACTACATAAAAGACAAGTATTGTGCAGCTTTAAGAGCAGCAAGCAGGGCCTGCATATGTAATGATCAAATCTAACGATCTCTATATATAACCTATTAACATTAGAATATTTCCGTATCCCCCTTACAGCTATCACTATCGTAATTTCCCAGAAGGCTATAGCTTCCTCATCAGATGCTTGTAAGTATTGGCAATAAAAGGTAACTCTCAAAGTGCTCATAATGCACTAATCCATGAGTAGTAGCATCCAGTCACATAGAGAGGATTACAGATCCCAAATCCCAGCAACAGTTAAACAGTAATATTAGCCTAACCTGCAACTCTGGGCTTGGGACCCCCCCACGATAAAAGCATCACTGGTGGACATTAGTGGGCGTGTAATAAGCACGAAACAAATTAAAGAGAGTGAGATTGCACACCCCAATTTATAATTTCTTGAAAGCTGTGTTGAGTAAATTCCACTTTAAGGCGTGCAAATACCAAAAAGGGAGGGGGCTTTGAAGAAATACTACACCTCTCTTGATATATATAAAAATTAGAAATTAATTTATTAGTGTCACATAATTTTTTGAAGCATGATCAAAATACAATTAAAGCATGATTGATCTATTTCACATGTAATAGTAATGTCACATCAATTCGACAGTATGATTATTTTAGTAAAACATGATGGATTGCTCATTCTGATAACTCCAACATGTTTCGCCCTTCTGTGCTTCTTCAGGGGGAAATATATATCCAAAATGAGATGGAACCCATGTAGAGCAAGTCAGAGATTAACATTATTGTAGCATTATTGTAGAATATAATAAAATATTGTTCTGTTTTTTTTATTACACAGGTGACTTTGACAAGGGCCAACAACATTACGAGTCCTCTTACTCCAGTGGTGAGTAGATCCTAAATACTGAGAACAGTGGTGTTACTCTCTGAAGCATTCTCTTAAAATGGTTTAAATGACACTAGGTGCTATTTAACCCAGAGCAGTAATGGTAACACAATGATGGATTGGTGAGCCTGCAGGGACAGCGAAGGAGATCAGAAATATCAGAATAGCAGATTGAGTTACTTTTTTATTTTTAGGAACTGCTGGGGGAGTGAACACAAGCTGGAGTCAGGCTTCAAGACTAGACTAAAGGAAGTTTCAGCACCCTCTTTAAAACCTGCCATTGTTTTCATATACAAGCATTAGCAAGTTCAGGGGACCAGTTCACAAAATAATGTTGTACAACTGTGAAAAGGCCAGAGGACAACTAAAGTAATGAGAAAAGAGGAAATGAGCTAAACACATTCTCCTTTGAGAAGAGCGATTAAGGGTGTGTAAGATTGTCTTGTATAAATACATACAAGATCCATATTAAATAATATACCTGGAAAGTAGTTACCTTTAAGGCCGTCACAAAGGGGGGAGGTGGGGGGTTGCCATCTCTGTCCCATTGTAAAGATTTTCCTTCACTTCCTGTCCCAGAAACATAACAGTATGTGAGAGTAAATCTCTGCAAAGTGAGAGAGAATCCCCTCTTAGAAACTCGTCACTGAAACAAATGGCTCCACTGTAAGATTTTCCTTCTATTTCAGTTACATTGACCACTGTACCATTTTGCATTTTTCATCCCTTTCTGTCGTTGTGACATTAGACACCTTGAGAATAGATAAGATTAACCTACCTAGCGATGTCATAGGCACCAATGAAAACTGATTGTAAAAGAGATTCAGAACACCAAAAGATAAATCCAATAGGTCTACTGAAGTCAGTGAAGACCAGGTTTGGACTGGTCTCACATGGAACTTCAGCAGACTTTTATTTGGTTTATTGCAAGTCCACGCCAGACTGATATTATTGAGCAATAAAACCAGACAGGAATTTCAACACTTCCCCACTCTGTCCAAAACCAATGAATAAAGTTATGGCTTTAGATATACTTTAACGCTAAACTCAAGGTTAAGCATATATTGTCTAAATGCAAAAGTCATATGTATTTGTACTTTAATCTTGGTGTGCTTTGTGTATTTCTTCCAGATCTCTGCAGTGATCCAGTCTGAAAAACTTTGCCTCTGTGTAGGAGCTTCCTGTAATATAGACGGGTCACTGCTGCTCTCTCTTTGTGGAGGGGGACAAGTCTTGTATCCCCTCCTCCTGTAGTTTTCTGCAGGACTTTGTAATGGGTTGGGTCTGCTGGGTCCCTTCCACATTGCAAAATAACTTGGTGTTCAAAGGCAATTAGTACACACAAAGTGGAATTATATCCTCCGTGGTAATAAAAGAATACATTTAAATAAAAGTTGTTGTGTTTGGAGTTCAGCTTTAACCTCTGCATAGAGTTGTTTGTTCCTGTGAGAGCTGCAAAACTGTAAATAGTCTTCCACAGTAAATGGCTCTAGTTACCTCAATAGACTGACTCTAAAAAGGGTCTACATATGTTTCCAAATGCATAAAATATAAACAGCTAGTAAATATGGTAAATAGTATTGTAGGGTGTTGATCAAGGGAGTTCAAACTTCCCCTTGTACACTTGTGTTATGGATCTTCTTTTCCCCTCTCGGGACCACACTCTATTAATATTGCAGTTGTTCACTTTGGTAACCTACTTTGATGATACAGAAATACTACAAGCATAGTACAGTCATCAAGCCTATGGGATAACCTTTCCAGCGGAAGGAGTTCTCCCTACCGCAGGGTAACAATGTTATAAAGAACTGACGCACTTGGGGTGATGAACATTTTAAGATGATAAAGTCTCCATTTTTATTGAAGTGAATGTGATGATCTCATTAGGTGCCACTCTAAGGTGTATATGACAGTGTGTACTGGTCTCCTGTGATTTTTCTCCAGTTCCCAGAAGTCTTTATGTACCCTTTTATCTGTCAAAGACGTGCCCCAGCATGAAAAAGTTCAAAGGGAGAGAAAGAAAAAAAGTTTAGCAAAAATATACCTCTAAATCAAGCAAGTGCACTACACAGCTCACTGCACCTTGTGGTTAAAAATATCCAGATATTGCTCCTAGGGTTTGTAGATACTTATTTTTAGTCTCATTATATTTCCCTTGCCATCCTTTCAGCCTCTTAAGGTTGAATTGTTGGTACACTCTGGTAGACGTGTTTCCATATCTCTTTTATTTTCACATTTGACAATTAAATATCTTTATATATTGCTTTACAATCATGGACACCAAATTCACATTTGTTCTCCTGACCACTGTGTTTTAGTTTTTTTTTAACTCCTCTTTTTTTCAAAAAGATAAAAACTGAGAGTTGCCACTGATGTGGTTAACGAATGATCTCAGAAGCAGATTGCCATGCCACAAATTTTTGTGAGCACAGGGGAAAACAGAAAAGATACCCACCAGCTAAACCAGTGGTGGCGAACCTTGGCACTCCAGCTGTTTTGGAACTACAAGTCCCATGAGGCATTGCAAGACTCTGACAGCCACAGACGTAACTCCTAGAGGCAGATGCATGTTGGGATTTGTAGTTTTGGCACAGCTGGAGTGCCAAGGTTCGCTACCACTGGGCTAAACAATGCACAATGAACGGTCACAGCCCTATGGCATGCTGGTGGGAGCTCTTGTCACTGTGACAGAGGTTTCGATAGAAGGGCAAATGTATAAAAAAAACAATATGGTGGTGTCAAGTTGGCCAAGGCCGCTCAGAGCCCTGGTCACCCCTGCACCCCTTTGTAATGCCTTTGAGACAGTGGTTTCAAGCCATCCTAGCTCTATATAAATATTAAAACATAGTTTTATCTGAAGGTTCATTTTAAGAACCTCCCAACGGCAAACATTCCAATAAGATCTGATGAATGGAACTGGAACTGGTATACTTGGTAGGAAATGTCATTCTTTGTCAGCTGAATGGAACTTGGGGGTTATAAACTAAAAAGGACTCATTTGACATAACCTTTCAGAATAAAATGTGCATGCAGTAGTTTTCACACTGCTATCCTTTTGCGATTGTGCTTTTCCTTAGTTTAGTTCTTTTGGAGCTTTTAGTTGAAAAGTTCAATATATACATTAAAAAAATCAAATTTCTACTTTTTCAAAATTATTTGACAGATCCTGCCAGTTAATGACACACGTTGGCAGCTTCTATAGCCACAACACAATATAGAAAATCATTTAGCTTGTTTGCCATCATCCCAATCGTACCCATGCAGAGGGTACAATTATTGTATGCTTTGTGCCAATGTTTTCATAGAATATAATCCTTTTGTTGAACAGTAACAACGCATTTCATTGCGTAACAAGCACATTACAGATATTGAACAGACCACTCAGAGCTCCTAGATATTCAAGGGTACCCAATAAAACACATGGTGGCAGTTACCGTTCATGTGTAAAAGGTTAACTGCGGTGATCACCTGGCCCAGTGAACCAAGCTGAATTGTTTTTTTTAAGTGAAATAATAATTAAAGTAGTATTAAAGGTAGGTCAGATAATGCATTAAGGTAAACAATCCCCAGTACCTTTCGGTGTCCCCCGTCCCCCCCACAGTTTACTGTCAGTGCTGCATGTCACCGACGCCGGGCCCAGAAGCGATCCTCCATTCCGAACTCCCTGGTTATGGGGGAGGAGATTGAGGGCAGAGGAGCCATAGGCTCCTTCTGTCATCAGTCAATCTGTTGGGTGGAGAAGAGGGGTGTGGCCTACCAAAGGGCTGTGTATGTCTATGCATGCACGCAGAAACTGCGGTCATGGCCGGGAACCCGCATGCATGGGTGCCTCCAGAGCATCGGCTTAGCTGATGGAGGCACCAGTGCAGGAGGTAGGGGAGACAGTGATGCGAAGGGCCACTAGAAAATGAGAAATTTAAACTTTTTTTAAAAAGAACAACAGATCTGCATACCATCTGTGCCTCCCTTCCATACAAATAAAAAAGAGCAAGGTTTAAAGTCACTTTAAGTTTAAGCAGGAAATAACTTTTGTCTACTTACAGTATACATCCACTCGTATAGACTTTATTGCAGGGGAACCAAGCCCGTTTTCTGCCTTGCAATAATATCTGCCTCCCTGGTGCCTCTGGATATTTGTAATCCGAAGGGTCTCGTTGAAAACGCTGGAGTCTTGAAATCGATCTGATGCACTTCCCGCTGTTTTGGTCCACCTGATCTGAGCAAGCATCAGAAAATAGAGTTAGTGTGGCTCACTTGATAACTAGGTGCAGTTTCATGATGTGTGCAAGTTTAAAATGGATCAGATGCAGAAAGAGCAACATGTTTGAGTGCCAGAGTAATGGTAGGTAAATAACGTGTCTAGACTTTTACTGTACGTTAAGTTGTCAAATTGTTACAGAAGCTCACCTACCTTGGTTACACTTTAATTTAAATATACAAAAAGGAAACTCTGATCAAATTCAATCAGATATGAACACAAACTCTGGTCATGGACCCTGTGTAAAACTCCAAACACAAAAAAGTACACAAGCTTTTTTTGCCAATTTACAGCCTGTTTTTCCCCCTTAGACTTCAATGGAAATGCCAGGAAACAAAAGCATGTTGAACATTTTTGTGTGCATTTTTGCCCGGTGTACGCGTCCATTGATCGCAATGTTTCTTGAGCTGCCAGTCAAAATGAGCAAAAATGTGCCAAATGTGCATAAACGTGCAAAAAGTATGCCGCCTTGGTGTGAACTAAGCCCTGGGTTGAACGAATCAATCCACCAGTCAAAAGCATATAAGTTTGGCCCATCTATGGCAGATGCTTCAATGATTCATGCATTTGCCAAGACATTGAACAAATCTCATCCTCTACCCCATTGTCCCTGTGTGCAGACGCAGGTAGAGTATATCTACATTTTACTGTATTGCTTTAAATCATGCCAAATGTATACTGAATGATACTATAATGTATAATTATAAAAACAAAAAATATATACTGAACAACACTATTGTAAATATGGTACAGGCTATAGTTCTGTGTGGTGTCAGTTGAAAGCAGTCTTTTTTTGATGTTTTAACTTTAAAAAATTGCCACAATTGTTTGACACACAAAAGTATCATGTTGGTGTTTGGGAGTTTTCTTGGGGTGCATTCAAATCTATGCATATTTGGTGCAGTTTCCATTAAAACACATCTTATCTATATACAGTAAACTGTATCGGATTGGTAGGATGCCGGATAAGTGTAGTTTTTGGTTGCTTGGGAGTTAATAGTAGCCGGCAGGAGAATACAAACAGCCAGGAGTAATAGCCAGACTGCTTCCCCATTCTTTACATTCTGCTGACGAACGCGGAATTTAGCCGCCGGCCGGCACCAAGATATAAACAAAGAATTTCATTAGAAACAAAATAAATGTAGTTGCTAACAACATTTTTTAGTATGCATCAAGCCACCGGCAAAAATATTTTTTTGTGCCAGTTGCTTGAATGCCGGATAATGGGGAGTTTACTGTACATAGAGATATATGTCTATCATTATATTATATTATCAGGGGCGTGGAGATTTTTTTTTTTAAACTACTTGTCCAAGGACTAAAGCAGGAGCACAATCTACTTGTCCCTCATGACAATCTACTTGTCGTGATACAATTTGGTTTTTTTTTAACCAAAACTGTATTTAACCGTGCTAATAAGCACTTTTCATTGGTCAGCGTGGTGAGGTGACCTAGCTGGCCAATGAGTGCTTGCAATTTACAAGCAAAATTCAAAATCCATGGCACACGGTTGCGCTGGATGGTAGTACGGGGTACAGATAGTACACCAATACTTATTTAGAATTGTTATTTTATTTTTTACTTTTTTATTTTATTTTCACTTAACTTTATTGTCAAGCCCCTGTGTAGTGGCATTCCAAGGTGACAGGCTCTCTTTAGGCAGCATGCCCTCCAACACAGAAGATCAAGCACAGAATTGTGCTCCATCTTCTGTACAGCTCCACATGTGACAGCTGAGACTGGACCGCTGTTAGTACAGCACTCGTATGTCACTGATCACAGAGAGCAGATCGGAGCACATCCATTTTGCTCCCTGCTCTCCATCCTGAAATCATTTGCCATAGTCCTAGGTCCCACAGAAGAGCGGGGAACCCAGAAAACCACGGTGGAGAGTTAGGTGGCTGGCGGGGAGGGAGGCGGCAAGCTTGGGAGACGGGCCATGGAGAAGGGGGGGGCAAAGACAAGCAAGCTGTCCAAAAGTGATCTGGGCGGCTGTACAGCCCCCCAAATAACATGTACAAAACTACTCATCCCTATATATAACAATATATCATTTCTCTGTACACTCATCCCTATAGATAAATGGTCATACAGGTAAAATGTACTGAATCTAAAACAGCCATTCATAGTACCGTCCCCACTTTTTTCCCAATTAGTCAAGAAGCCAATCTCAGACAAGTAGTGTCAGACCTTCAACTGCTCAGTAAAAGTCATGATAGCTTTGGAGCTGCTTGGTGGTGCTCCTGAAACAGTCCATTGGTGGAGTTTCCAAGCTTGGAGATCCCTACCAGTCATCAGCAGGAGGACATACCAAGAAATACTTTCACTCTCTATTTAAAAAAAATGGAAAACCTCTTTAACAGACTTGCTATAAAAGGCTGTAAAAATGCAGAAAAATGTGAAATGAAGATAAATTAAGCATGCAAACCCATTAAAGCAGAAGAGAATATTTCCAGACACATTAATTTGAGCATTTGCTTATTCAACAATATATTTCACAGAAAATGTGCAATTTATTGCTGCAGATACTGCAAAAAATATATATACTGTATACATATCATTATTTTTTCTTTCAAAGAATGGAAACACACACAAAGCCTATACTGTAAGCACATGAGACTGCTTACTACATACGGCAACACGATTCATTTATCAAGCACCGGTATCATCTTATTCGAGATACCACTTAATCCTGTGTTATTTTATAGAGCCAATTGATCAAAATGTATAAAAAAATAAATAAATAACTCTCTCCATGATGATGAATTAGAACCATCCTATAACATAATATCAAGTGATTTAGCTCACATCAGAAAATATCACTCTTTGATTAATATACCCACTTGTGCTATTTCAAGCATTGCACATTTTCCCCATTGTATCCACACAGATGACAAATAATGGTTCACAGCACAGCCCAGCAAATGTGGATTCGCATCTTGAACTCGATGAAGCAGTTTCTTTACTACGAATAAAAATGGCACTTTACCGGTAAACAAAATTGCCTTCTCTCAAATATATACATAAAGAAGTTAAGATTTATTTTTATGGAAGAAAAATTAATTTAAAGATTGCTTAAGCCAAATGCCAAAATTATGATGACAAAGACAAGTTAAAGAAATATCTTAACTCGAGAACAAAAATTGAATCTATTGCATCTTAGCAGTTATAGATTTGGTGCCTGCATACGTATTCCTTTTTTTTTTTTTTTAAGGCTAAGTACAATTTCTGCAAATGCAGAAAAATCAGAAATTCAATGGGCTTGTAGATTTCTGTGGACTGAAACGAGATGTCAAACAGTGTTAATCACTTTCACACTTCTATATTCTCTGAACGACAAGGCAACATCCCTCTATGTAATGGAGATGAGGAAGGTATTTGTAGTCCTAATCAGGACCTCACTGTACTGCCACATGTTTTATAATTTTTATTTCCTGTTATATGAGACATGTCGGAGATTTTATCAAAAGTGACACTAAACTCATAAGTTAAACTTAAAAATACATTCAAGTACCTTAACCATTAGCAAGAATGTATCTTATTTGTGTATCATTCAGCTGTGGATCCTCCAATCATCTCTGAATTGGTGCTGACACTGTCCTTCCTTCTGGAGGGCGGCTATGTTTGTTCCTCATGGTCCCTGTATGTGTTGTAAAAAGCCACCGCTCCAAGCTCGCTCCAGTGATGGACTACAATCTCATGTTTAGGTTATTAATTTGTAATGAGATTGTCTTTAGACGTCCGCTCAGACACGCCCCCCACACGTGCCGCTCGGCGTGCGCGAGCAGGAAATGGGCAAAATTTTAAAGTACATATTTTGCTATCACATAGAGGGGTTTTTATTAGCCCCCGTATGTGATAGCAATAAAGTTTAGTGAAAAAAAAAGGAACAAAAATTTAAGTCCCCCCCCTAAATTTAAAGTTACACCATAAAAAGGAATAAAAAAACATTTTAAGTCCCCACCCATACATACACGCATGCAAACATGCGTCGGGGGCGCATACGTGCAAAAAAGACGATTGCGCCCATTACGCCGCACATGTTACATATCGCCGCG